GGGGTCGCTATGAGTCGGTGCCGACTTGATGGTACCTGACAACAACAACCACTTATCAGCTCAAAAATACAAGTCCCACTTGTTAATCTTTTACTTAACACTTTATGACACTACCTGAAAATGACAACAGCACTTTCTTTGTTTTCACTGATGAAATTCAGCCTATGATGTGTTCAAAGTAGTTGTTTTCAGTGTCTTGTCTTTCTACACTATGCAAATCAAGATGGCACCATCTGATTTGACCCATGAAGGCTCTCAGTTATGAAAGTATTCATTTTAGCTTGCTGAATGAGCTGTCAGAACTGACTGTGTAAACCCCAATGGCTCACAGAAACTGTTGAGTGGTGCCCAGGGCACGTACCATACCTTAGATTTGCTTATGTGGCTCCTCTCGTGGCTCTTGGCAGGAGGCCTCAGCTCCTCGCCATGTTTGTCTCTCCATAGCAGCCAACCACCCCCTGGGTTGTTGTTGTTGTTAAGTACCGTGGAGTTGGTTACTAACATAGTGACTCATAGTGACCCTGTACTGGGTAAGGGATCCAAAAGAAGGTAGGACAGGAGTCATGAATGTCTTACGTGGACTCACAATGAGTGTGATATGTCATCACTTCTCCAAATTCTGTTGGACATACAGTTTGGGGCTGCTCTCAAGTCATGGCAACCCCATGGTACAACAGGCTCAGACTATTGTGATCCATTGACTGGCTTTTAGAAGTAAAACATCAAGTCTTCTTAATCCATTTAAGTCTGGAAGCTCCATTGAAACTTATTTGGCATCGTAGCAACATACAAATAATTCTCTACTGACAAGTAGTGTCTACGCATGAGATGCATTGAAGGGTAATCAAACCCAGGTCTCCTGGAGGAGTTCTGGTGGCGCAGTGGTAAAACACCCAGTTGCTAACTGAAAGATCAGCAATCCAAATCCACCAGCTGCTCCCTTGGCGAGAATAGTTACCGTATTGGAAAACCTATGGGGCAGTTCTAGGCTGTCTTATAGGGTTGCGTTGAGTTGGAATTGACTCAAAGACATGGGGTTCTTTTTTAATGGGTGTCCAGTATGTTAAGGGAGAATTCTACCACAAAGCCTCCACTGCCCTCTTGGTCACACACAGCAACCTTGATACCATGTGGGAGGGAACACAAAGTGGTGGGATCATGAGGGCCATCTTGGAAGCTGCCCCTTGCCCTCACCTTCAGCCACCCTGACTCACTTTGGTCTCTCTCCCACAGACCCCTGTGGCAGGAGGCCCACAAGAGGTGACCTATGCCCAGCTGGACCACCAGACCCTCACTCAGGGAGCATTCCAAGTTGTGTTCCCCCAGACCACAGAGCCCCCAGCTGATTCCACCACGTATGCGACCCTCATCAGGCACTGACCCCAGGGCTTGGCCTCTGCACCCAAGTACATATGACTTCAGGGCTCCCCCTGTGGAATGTGGAATCATCTCTGTTCCGGAGACTCGGCCAGTCAGCTCCCTTGGAGACCTGAACTGGGATCTGGAAGGCCCTAATCAACATTAAAGAGGTTCAGTAGCCAAGGGATCACTTCCACAATTGACCAGCTTCTTGATGAGACTATACTACAGCTGTTTCCAGAGACGCCGCTACAACCACTCCATTGTTTCCAGAGCCCCTGATACAACTGCTCAGCAGTTTCCAGAGATCCAGCTATAGTCACCCAACTGTTTACAGAGACCCTGCTACCATCTCCGAGCTATTTTGGAAGACCCCATTACAGTTTCCCAGCTGTTTCCAGATGTTGTTTTCCATGACTTCGAGTCAGTTACAACTCATAGCAACCTTATATAGGATTTCCAAGGGTTTGAACTACCGACCTTGCAGTTAGCACTCCAGAGCTTATCCTACAGCACCACACCAGGACTGTCTCCAGAGAACCCTTGATATCTGCCCAGCTGATTCCACACACTTACCTACGATTTCCAGCTGCTTCCAGATGCTCCACCAGACTCTTGAATCTATGGACCTTCTGAGAGCTCCATGGCTCTCCCTGAGACTGTGTTATATTATGCAGCTGGTAGCTGAACCCAGTTCCCTGGACTAAGCTTTACTTTGCTCAACAATAAATATCTTCAGAGACCTAAGTTCCAGAAGCCCTGTGCTTGGTGCTGGAGTGTTGTGTCTCCACAGTTGCTCAGAACTTAGTGAGAAAACAAGAGCAACAAAGGAAGCATCAGTGTTTTGTGATAGAACGTTGTGTTAGAATTGAATGAGCGAGGGATCTGAGGGGACATGTGGCTGGGTGAAGGCAGAGAGCTGGCCCCACCTGGTGACAACCCCCCAGCTCCTGCACACTATGCACAGAGTCAATCGAGTTTATAAAGAACACATACATGCACTCACATACACACACACACACACACATATATATACATTGTATATACATAGATCATCCAGAGTCCGCCATCCAACTGATTTCATGTTCACATGGTCAGAGCCCACTACACTTGGACAATTAGGACTCAATGAGACCAGACAGGGGTCCAAAATCCAAGGTCCATGACTTGAGAATGGGAACAGAGCAAGTGTCCCCTGGATGTGAGGACCTGGATTATGTTTGACTCTGCCTTATCCTCCCATAGGACCGCAGGTTTGCACCTGCATCTGAGTTCATGTTCTCCCTGTTCCAACAGGAAGTTTAAGGAGCCCACTGGGTTTGAAGTAGGAAGCTTCTCAAGTGCTCTCTGATATGAGGTGAAAGTGGTTGTGAGTGGACAGCCAATCGTGTTGACAGATACAAAGAAAGAAGGTCCAGGGGTGCCCTTCACAAGGCTTCTGGGAATCCTGGGGGTTACAAATAATTAGTTGAAAGGTTGGTTGTTTGAACCCACCCAAAGGCACCCAAAAATAAGACCTGGTGGTGTACTTCAGAAAAGTCAGTCATGAAAGTCCCAATGGAAGAATTGTACTCTGCACACATGGGTCACCGTGAGTGGGAATTCACGTGACAGTGATTAACAACCATCTCAAGACCCCTGCTCCAGACCCTTAACAATGTCCCGCACTGACTGGATCAGTCCAGGAAGTCAGCCTAGCTCACAAGACCTCTTTGACCTGGCCAATATGGTGGTTCCAGTCTCATCCTAGATTCTGCTTTCTTAGAGAGGGAGGTTGACCCTCCCCAGGGCTCTCAATAGCCTCCATGTTTCCCTTACCCACCAAACTTCCCACCCACTCCTCATCTTGAGTAGGCTCTTCCTCCAGTCCCCTGCCTACTCACCTCAATGTATGTGTAACCTCTCAGCCAGGCGGTCAGTCTGCGTTCCCAAGGTCTCTTCTCATTTGGCCTGTGGTCAACACAGTTAAGGTGCCTTGGCCTTGATCCTGGAAGCTCACAGCCCAAGGGAATGGTGGGAAATGAGGAGAGTGGAAGGGAACATGGTAAATTGGGCAGGCAGAGGTCCTGAGCTAGTTATGGGGCTGGCTCAGGACAAGCAGGACAGAAATGATTGTTGGACACAAGAGATGAAACAACGTAGTTTGTGTGTGTCTGTGTGAAGACAGAAAAGGGCCATGGGCTGCAGTGGATTTGTCTTCGTCTGGGTTTTCTACAGGGACAAAACCAATAACATATAGAAATAGAGAGAGAGATTCATTTCAATGAAATGGCTTGTGCAATTGCAGAGGCTGGCAAGTTCCAAATCCATGGGTCAAGCTCATAGAATTGTTGTTGCAAGAGCTGATGAACCCAGAGTCTAAAGGTCAGGCAGCCGGTTGGTGGCTCATGGGATTGCACAGGCTGACAAATCCATACTCTTCAGATCGGGTGACAGGATGAAGGCACCAGAGGTCAAGTGGCAAGAAGAGTACGGAATCAAAAGAGACCGTGAGTTTTGCCAGAACATTTGTTTCTGTCAAGGATGTAGGTCACACCCCTAAAGAAACTCCTCTTCCAACGGATTGGTTGCTCACATCAGATAACAAAATGGGAGATGATACTGTTGTTGTTGTTGTTGTCAGGTGCCATCGAGTCGGAACCGACTCATAGCGACCCCATGCACAGCAGAACGAAACAATGCTTGATCCTGGGCCAA